AATAGTCAAAAGTGTCAAAAGTAATTTTGGCTTTTAACTTCTGTTAAATAGTTACCCTTAGGTTAACATGAAATTATTTCCAACGCAAAAAATGATGTATGAAAGTGGCACAGATTTTGTCACCCACAGCTACACAGTGAAGTAAATGGCAGATTGTTTCCACATTTTAAGTGACCGTAAATGCGCTGGGATGTGCTGGGAATCAAACGGCCAGGGTGTATGTCAGGAAAGCTAAAAGGCTGCTGTTTAGACACAAGCACACTTTAGAGCAAAAGCCATTTTGAATGGAAGTCTGATTTTAAACTTGTCAAAAGCACGTACCTTGCTCACGGAGACAGCAGAAGAGGCGGGGCCAGAAAGAAACAAGAACAGTGCTTTATTATTGGGCAACTTAAGGGGCTGACTAGGTGGCCACAGAGATGAGCTTGTCTAACCTCTTAGCTGTATTCTCCTGTTGTGACAGGAGAAAAACCTGCAGGACTAAGGTGGGAGGAGGAAGCCAGTTACAAAAGAACAAAATCCAGCACCCGCCATCCAGTCTGACAGTTCACATCCAAGTGGCTTCCGAATGACTCTCACGGCCGCGGGAGGCGTGGGCTTTGGCATGTGGTCAAGCAGTTATTCTCGCAACATACAGCCTCCCTTCCACAGCCACGCATAACGCAGATTTCACTCGGAGAAACAGGATTAAGGAATATGGAATACTACATGTCTGGGTTGTACTTGAGCAATTCAACTTGTGCTTTGCAGAGGGGCTTAGCCCAAATTTCAAAAAAGACAGTTAAATGGAGCGTGGTAGCAATTGTCTCCTTATCGGGTGAGTCAAGCTGAGCCAGAAAATTGGGGTTAGGCCCTTGAGTTAGGACAACTCCTGTAGAGATGAGCCATCAAATAGACACGTTCCTCTGTTAACTAACATGATTAATTAATATTATTACTTAAATGTGTGGGATCATAGAAAAGGAATTTTAAGGACAGGGCAAACAAAAGCAAACAGGATCCTTGAGGTGTGTCAGCCAGAGTCCAGGGAGAAGAGAGATGACTCGCGTAAAAGGGTGATGGAAAGAGTCTAATGAAGCGACTATACAGATTGGGGCAGGATGCAGGGAAACACTGGGATGGCGAGCATCTGAGGCTACCACTAGCTGGAAGGGGCAAGAGGAGGGAGGAGAAGGCAAGGCCTTGGAGGGGCGAGAAAAGGGAGCAGTTATGGTAATGTGGCAAGTACTACCACTGTGGGAGAGGCCACCCTGTGGGAGTGTGGCCTTCAGGTGCACCAGCCTGTGCTCCAGGAAGAGAGGAAGCAAGGAGAAGCAGTCCTCCACTGCCCTCTACAGCTGCCAGCGCCCCCCACAGCTCACGCCCTGTCCAGAGCCACGGAACAAAGAGGCCTGGTGGAAAAGTCCAAAGAATGAGCTTCCCAGAGCACAGAGGAGAGCGGAGAAGAGTATAACCGGGGAGGCGCTGGTCAAGGGGTACGCCGTTTCAGTTATGTAAGAAGAGTACCTTCTGGAGATCTAACGTACCACAAGGTAACACAGTTAACAGACCCTCAGCGAACACCTGACATCTGCTAGGAGCGTAGATCTTAGGCCTTCCCACCACCACACACACAAAAGAAAACAGTAATTATGTGAGGTGAGGGTATGCTAATTAGCTTGATTGCGGCGATTATTTCACAAGGTATGCATATATCAAGTGTACACCTTAAATAAATACAATCTTTGTCAATTATACCTCAATGAAGCTGACAAAATATAATGTTAAATAAAAAAGAAAGTTACAGAATGATTAAAAAAAAAGCCTATCTGGAGGGGCAGAGAAGCATCAGCAGAGGACAAACAACTTGTTGGGATTTGGGGGCCATTAGCTACCGAGGTTTCTTTTCGTCTCAGTCAGATCAATATATTCAATTCATTTATTCAGCAGCTATTTATCAAGCACCCCTAAATGCCTGATTTGGGGAATAGGTAGGCACCTCAGGGTAAATAAGTCACCATCCCTGACCTCGAGGAGCTTAGCGGGGTGTCAGGTAGTGAGGTAATGCTAAAACAGGGGTTACCACAGCTTGCTGGGGAAGCAGCACGGGCTACCCAACCCTCCTGGGAGTTTGGCAAGCCCGCATGGAGGAGGGGAGAGTTGGGGGCTTCCCGAAGGAAGAATTGGAGGGGGCCGGAAAGACGGTTGCGGGCACACTGTCCTCGAACGTCCAGTAAGAGAGCATGTGAGTTCCAGGACTGCGAGCAGTGTCACGTGCCCAGGCCTGGGGGCCGGGACGCGTGAGGTGGGCGGGGTGTGCGAGGTGGGCCGGGCACGGGCGCCCCGATCTGGCTGAGTCCGGAACCCACCGACAGCTCCGGGGGGGCGCTGCATTCTGTCAGGAAACGACATGGCTGGATGCGAAATCGGACCAGGAGCTCCAGGGGGCGAAAGCAATGATGGGAAAGGCCCATCTGTGACGCTTTAATGGCAAATCAAAACGTTCTCAAACAATGAAATTCTGAGTGAAGCTGTGTTGAGCCTGCTGACTTAGGTATCTCCGGAAAACCAGGGCATGGTTTGGAACTTGCAGGCCAGTTGAATTGAAGTGTTTTTGTATAGTTGGCTTAAGTAACCAAATGATGAAATCAGTCCTCCAAATTGTCAGCAGAGCAGCTGTTCAGAAAGCTCTTGTTAGTCGTTGACCTTATGTGTAATAGGATTTCCTAGAGCGTGGATAGACTGAATAAAGAACTGCCTGGCAGGGCTCCCCCTACAAGCGCCTCCCGTGAGAGAGCCCAAGAAAAGAGGCTGGCCCGGGGTGCGGGAGCCCTTTCCTCCCTGCCTCCCAAATTACCAGGAGAAAGAGAGCAGGAAAGCACGCCGCAGGCACGTCCTGGAGAGGAGAAGTGGCGGGACTGCCGGCAGCTCGGACTCCCTCCTCATCGTCATGCAGGGGGTGAAAAAGGAAAAGTTTACAGCCCAATAGTCCTCCTCTGGTTTTCAAGCCTAACCAAGGATTCTCATCCAGCCTATTCCTTTCTGCATGAAAGCAGCTTCAAGTCTGACCTTTTGTATGACCTGCATTTATTACTTATGGCACTGGAGCTGGGACGGGATATGAGGAAAGATTGGGTGGGAGGGTTGGGGGAGAATAGATCGATGTAGAGACTTATTCTTAGAATGAGGAAGCAGCATCTGCAGTGCTAAAGAGTAAACTTCATCTTGAAAATAAAATGCCATGTATAAGACTGGAAAGGATGCGCTCTCCCGCTCTCTCTGTATCATCTATCTATCATCTATCAATTTATCTATCATCTATCTGCCTATCTGTCATCTCTATCGTCCTACCCATTTATCATATATACTCTGCTTATATAGTTCTTGCTTCCACTTACTGAGAAAAGCCTACATGTAAGAGAGTTAAAATAAAAATAAAGTTTGCATATCGTGTAGTGAAAGAGGGGGAAAGAATTGTACTCATAGCCTGAAAAGAATCATCCTGGCAACTGAATATTTAATTTAGCTTAAGCTTCTGGCAGCCAAGGTGGAATCAACAACCTCTGTAAGACATCTAAGTTGCTCTTGTTGATGAAAAGAAGTGCACTATTACTATATCAAAAGGGGAAAATATCCCCTAGTGCTAAATCCTAAAATTTCATTCTTTTATATAAGAGAAAATCTGTAGCAAAATTTGCAGTGTCTTAGACAGCAATTTTGCAGAAGATGCAGACACGTTCTTCATGTGAGGTTCCTTATACCAACGTTGGCTATCAAAGCAGCAGCCTCTCATAAAAAGGAACTGAAGATTATGACCCACTTCATCCACTGGTCCTCTGAATAAGACATTTTTTTTAAGTCACTGCTGAAATGAAACAACAACAGCACCGTTGTGCTCAGGGACTCAGCCAAGTTTGTCACCAGCAAAATCCTCTATATCCTGAAACTCTCCTCTAAGCCGTTCTTTGCTCTTCTTACTCTAACAACAAGTTAGCTGTCCCCAGAACAGCGAGGCGGGGCTCAGGTAGAACAAGATCACTAAGGGAGCCTTCAGGGAAGTCGAGGAGACCGAGGATCTTGCTGCTGACAGGCTGTGAGTTCCACAGGGCTCCGTGGGAAGGGCGGAGGGATGTGGAAGAGGGGGGCGATGGGGTCCAATTCTGGGGTGTACAGTGCAGTGTGGAGTTAAAGAGATGGGGTCACACGGCTGACCTAGGAGACTCGGATGGCTGGTGTGTGAGAAGCACGTGGAGACTGGTTCTGACGGTCTTTGAGGGACGAATGAGTAGTTAGCTGTAGCTGGGCTGCCTCTTGGCGCTTCAGCAGTTTGCAGTGATGAGGCAATTAGTAGGAACTCAGGAGTGGTGGTCTTCTGAGGACCAGAGTTCCGTGATCCTCCTTAAATCCCACTGTGACTAACAACGAGACTGGGGACAGGCAGTCTCCCCAGGGACCTGGGCCAACTTCTGTCGCATCCCCGAAGCAGCCACTGTGGTGGGGGATGAGGTCTCAGAGACTGTGCACGCCTGCCATTCAGGAAAGGAGTGTGTGCGCTGTTTGTGTGTATGTGTGTGTGAGCACTGGGGCTCAGGGAAGGGTTACCGGGAGTCACCAAGAGACGAGAGAGGCAGCTGCTGACCAGCCGTGCCCGCGCACGCTGGCTAGCGCCCCCACCCAGCAGCCAGCACACACAATGTAGTCGACAGAGGAAACGGGAAGAGGTGAGTGGATTCACAGAAACATATCTCCACTCTGGAAAAATAACAGGAAGCATTATCTTTAGTGATGAAAAAAATCATGCAATTTGAGTGGCAGTGTTTTGTTCTAATTTGATCAAGGATCAAATTGTATTCTATGTTTAAGCACTTATCCATTGCAAAGTCCAGCATTCTTAAGATGCATTGTCTCAATTTTGCTAATAATTGTCTTCGAATATGGGGTCAGTTTATAAGACACTTCTTTTCTTTTCCACAGGAAGAAATGAAAAGATTGCAGAATCCTTTAAAAAAAGTTAATGGAATGATGGAAAATAATGATGGAAAATATTTACTTGAAAAGTAAGTAAAAAATACTAAAGGAAATTAAATTATTTGTGAGGTCGAAAAGCTTGCTTGAAAAAAAAACACTACCTGGCGAGGCAAAATGAATAAATAAATTTAACAGTTTCTTATGATATTGTTGTGATCAGGACCCAGAAATTTGGCTCATGTGAGACATAGATAGATTTATGACGAGTTGAGCTATGATACACAAGCTGTACTGATTGACAAGATGAACAGTGACATGAGGCCTGGAGACGTCTCTGGTGGGGTGTCTAACAGCTTGAAATTTAACCCTGCCCTGTCTTTGGCTTTGAATCAGCAATGTCTATAGAAGGCAATCAAAATTGCAAGAACCACAAGGGTTACACTAAAACTAATAGAATAAACATTCAGAATAGAACCGCAGAATGGAACAAAACTTAGCTGGAAAAAAGAGCAAAGAAGAAAGAGATGAAATTGAACAGAGATAAAAGTAAAGTCTTCCATTTAGGTTTTTAAAAAATTGTACAATTAGAGCATGTGAGAGAGATATTCTGATTTTTATTTGTGGATGAATGCTTGGAGGTTTCATCTGATGTTAACATGAGCTCATGATTTTATATGGCTTCTGAAAACATTGCCACGGTATTAGACTGACTAGTAGGCATGCATTGTCAAGACAGAAGAAAAAGTTCACTGTCATTTATTGAGCGTTTACAATGTCCTCTGTATTAGCGAGTGCTCACAGACAATTCTGATTACAGCCTGCTGACGTAGGCATCATTGTTTCCATTTTACACACAAGGACAGCAGCTCAGAGCTCTCAGCACTTGTCTGAGTACTCAACTAAGACTGGTAAGGATGAGAATCAAACCCCGGCTGGGATACCCCCAGCTCTCAACCGCTCACTAAGTCCTGATGTCAAGCCCATGTGGGTGTCACACTTGGCTCTGGGCACCACGTCTAAAAAGCACGTGGACATTCCCAAGAGCCTCAGAGGAGGTCAATGAAAATTGTTAAGATTCTGGAACTGTGTGAAACTACTACAAAGAGCTGAGGATGTATTGCTTAGAGAAAAGAAATCTCAGAGGGAACCAAACAGCTATCCTAAAACATTTGAAGGAATTTTCCTATAAAAGAGGGCTGAATTTCTCTTCTTGTTCTAAAAAGCAGAGCAAAGATCAGTGAGCAGCGGTTACGGAGAAACAGCTCTGTGACTCAGAAAAAGGTTGACTTTTGTAAAAAGTCAGCCTGTCCAACAGAGTGGACTTCTTGTTAAGGAATGAGCTGACAGATACTGGAGGTGTCCAAGAAGCGTGTGAATGACCATCCATCTGAGATGCTGTTGAAAACATTCCTGAAATGGAAAACTTTGGATTTGATTCCTCTTTATGCCTTTTCCTAGCTTTGTGAGTCTGGACAATTACTTAAACACCCCGTGCCCCAGTTTCCCCATCTTTAATGATAATGATGATAACACTGGCTTGACAGTCTAATTGGGAGCGTTAAATGAGCCCCCCGTGGTAGTGCGGTGCCTTCAAGGGCAGCTCCTTCCACTTGCCTCTGGCTGGAGGTTTGGCTAGATAGCCCCTCAGGTTCATTCCATCTCCGTGATTCTAAGACTCTGCCATGTCACCACATGAAGGACAGGTTCAGCCCTTTGACCAAATGAAGTTTCTGGGCTAGCTCTGGATTTAATTTATCTTCGTTATGTCTGTTCTCATCAACATGAATAAATAAGAATCAAATAGTTCAGCTTCCCCCCCCATCACCATCACTGTAGCTTTATGTAAACAATAGTAACTAGGGTTTTTGCCTGATACTGGTTTTCCTTCTATGGAGATGAGTGTTATAATGTTAGATCGGTGGCTCTTCACCCTGGCTGCACTTAGAATCACTCAGGGAGTTTAATAAGAATCCCCCAGTGGGAGCCCCCCTCCCCAAACAAATTGAATCGGAATCTGGGGGTGAGGTCCTGGAATCAGTATTCTTGAAAGCTCCCTTCGTGTGGTTCTAATGAGGAAGTGGGGCTGAGAACCAGCGGTCACTGCATTTTAGATTCCTTTCGGTTATTCAGTAATCTCTTGCAGCTGAATTCTCCGAGGACACGCTCTCTGTGATGTTCAGCCCATTTATTTATTAAATTGGGCTATGCTGGTGTTTCACTATTGATTTTAATGTAAGAAGTGAACTCCAGAAGTCTTTCCTGCTAACTGACCACAACTCTACGTCAAAACTCTCGCCGAGACCCACGTGTCTCTTTCCCGGCTCTCTGCTCTCAGGAAGATATGTGAAGAACCATGGCATGTGCGTGGGCTCCTGCCTCCCTTCCCTCCCCCTGTTGTTTCCTTCCGGTTATCCAGAGGCCTGGGAGCGCTGAAAGCTTCTGGAAGTGCCAGTGTGCTTTGTATGCTTGTTTTCCCAACGGTGATTGAGGAACTCCAGGGATGGGAATTGGAGCCTTCCCGCAGAGCCCACAGGCCTGTGTGGTAAGCTTCCCTTTCTTGCTTGTCCAGGACAGAGGGAAAACAAACAGTGGCTGCCAGTCCCAACAACTAGACCCGCTGGCCTGGCATTCTGGAGATTTCCCTGGTCTGCTTCAGGCAGGGCTGTGTCCTTGAAAGCTTTCAAATTTGATTGAAAAATTGGTGCACTCTGAGTGAGTAGATCAGGCATTTCATCATAGCCGTAGCTGACTTAGGCGCTGATGTAAATCATCTCAGGTACTTGAAATGACCCCCAGGCTAGAGAGAGTGGTGTCATAGCAGGTGATGGGTTGTCCCCACTCGGAACATTACATTTATTCTGAGCGCTCAGCAGGGTGTGGAGGTGGTGGACAGTCAGTGTGAAGGGAGGGGAGGCGGCGACCCCATTCTACTTGAGACCTTCTGCAGAGCCTTCTGAGCACGTCTGCACACATGCACGTGCACGCATGCACACACACTCACATACTCAGTGAAGCTTGGCCTGTGCTCACACACAGAGAAGGGCAGTTAGTAAGGCCAAGAGTTAGGAGGCTGTGTAGGACTATTATTTTTGAGAATCACTTGCTAACCTGAGTAAGAGCTTAGGCTGACTGCTGTTTTTTGCATGTATTGAATCAGGCTGCGTCTCTGATGGGAAATGTGTGATTGCAAGTCTCATGTTCCCTGGACATAGAATCACTCAATCACCCACACGGGTTTTAGGTAGGGGAGGGGAACGTGTATCGGGGTTTTAGGTGGGGGAAGGGAGCATGTGGACTTGCTGGTTGGAACCTTCCTACCAGTTGTTGGGCCTTGAAATCTGAATTTCTTTTCCCTTGACTTTCTGGGCATTCTGGTTAGTTTTTGTCTTCAGCCTGCATTTGGCCATGTGTGGCTGAATCTTGAGGTCAGCACCCTTTCCTCCTGGGTAAGACAGCTCAGTCATCTGCTAAGGAGGGAGAGGAAGACCGGGTTTGCCTTGAACAATGGTTGATTATGCTGAGTATGCGCAGCTGCAATTAGCAAAGCGTATCTCAAAGTTTTTTGCCCTAGGGAAGACTTTTTAACCTCTTGGTTCTTGGTTTCAGAATTATAAGAATTAGACTGACCCTTGGTTGGGCCTTCTGTGTTTCCCCTTTAGTAACCTGCATCATGTTTCTAATTACTTGGTTAATATCCGTCCTCTCCTAGACTGGAGGACCGTAACGACAGGGACCACATCTAGTGCTTTCATCATTGTACCCCCCATTTATATCTGTAAATGAGCGAATCAGGATGAATTAACAATGGACCCCAAATACCAACGGCACAGAACAAACAAGAGTGTTTTTTCCCGTCTCCTCAACATCCTAGCTGGGCAAACACAAAGCTATCTTGGGCTGATGGCACCACCTAGTGGCCATGTACGAATTAGCTCATCTACCATGTTTCCCCCCACAATCTTGGTTATTCCTTTCTAAAGAAGAGAAAATACATTTATTATCCTAATGATGTCTCTGGCACAATTCTTTTCATTTTCTTTACTATCACCTTAATCCTGGTCCTCATTATCTGGCCAATTTGATACCCTTCTAGATATTTTCCTTCATTCTCCTTGCTTGCTCTCACCATAAACCATCCTTAAACATCCCATTCACATTTTCCTGCTCCAAATGCTTTATGTTTTCCTGTAGCCATGTTTTTCACACTGTAGATCACAATCCATTGGTGGTTTATTAAATCAATTTTATGGGTCAATACTGGCCTTTTAAAGAAAGCTGAAATATAATAAAAAATATCAGAGTACATCACATGCATTTGGGAAATAGCATTTCTTGAAACTTTGTGTTACACACACACATGCACACCCTTACCACATGCATGTGTATTGGATTGGGATGTCAAATTTTTTATGTATGAGAACCATAGTAAGCAGGATTAAGTTTAATAAGTCTGATATTAAAATCCTCCAACCTGTACTGTGTGGTGGTGAGACGAGTTTTTCTTCTTCTTTTTTTAAAGATTGGCACCTGAGCTAACATCTGTTGCCAGTCTTCTTTTTTTCTTCTTCTTCTTTTTCTCACCAAAGCCCCCCACTACATAGCTTATGTTCTACTTGTGGGTCCTTCTGGTTGTGGCATGTGGGACACCGCCTCAGCGTGGCCTGACGAGCGGTGCCATGTCCACGCCCAGGATCCGAACTGGCGAAACCCTGGGCCGCCGAAGCAGAGTGCGTGAACTTAACCACTCTGCCACAGGGTGGCCCCCGAGACTTGAGTTTTAATGTGGTTTCTGCTGAGTTGAACATAATCTCTCTGAGCTTCAGATTTCTCAGCTGTACAATTTAATTGATAGAGGCTACAGTGAGTATTAAATAAGATACTATGTGTACAATGTCTCTGATAGTGTTTTGTACACATTATGTGGTCCGTAATTATTACTTTTCTGCTTTCCAAACTTATTTCCTTTTTCACTCCTTCTTTTATGCTCTGTTTCCACCAAATTGCTCTGTTTATTGTCTAAAAACAGCCTGAGTTTTTCACCTCTACTCCTTCGTTTTGATATCTTCCTCATACGTATAACCTTTCACATCTCAATTTCCCTAATTCCTTTCCATTCTTCAAAACCCAGAGCAGTCCCGCCTTCTCCGTGAGGCCCTCCTTGATGCCCGCAGTGCCCAGTGATCGTCTTATGAGCTTGTTAGGAGCAGCGACCATGTCCCTCTAGTCCTCTGCCATTCCCCAGGATAGAGAGTCATGCTTGTTCGTGTTGGGAGCTCTGACAAAGCTTACAGGATGAGAGGAGGAATGGTTCAATGGCGCCAGCACCACCGGGGATGGAGGAGATCCTCTCCACAGCTTTCTGGTTGGACAGGCCATGGGATTCATAACACTCTCTTTATGCCCGCACCCCCTGATGTGGTCCAATAGTCTGCTTTCCCCTTCACTTAAAGGAAATCATTTTCATGCCTTGGATATGAATGTTGAGCTGAGTGGTAGGAATCAAAGGAACAGCAAAGGTAAAAGGCAAAACAGTACTTTTCTATGGTATGGTTATTATTCATCATCAATCAATAGGAACTTTCGGAACTCTGTTAACAAATTAAAATGATAAAATTGAGTATATATCTGCTTTTTTCAAATACATATAAATTGGCAGTATGATTGATATAAATGTTAACTTTCTGACGAGCTATATTGAGACATTGTTTCTGTTTGTAGTCACCAGCTGGCCATGGATGTGGAGAATAACATTGAAAAATGTCACCTCAATCTACAGCCCTTGGAATCAAAGGTGAAAATGTAAGTTATCTCAAAGTTTACATTAAAGCATTAGTTTTGCAGTTCTTGCTTTATTATTTCTGAACTACTCTGGAATTGGAGGTGCAGGAATTACCCATTGTTTATTTCACGTTTGTGTGTCACACAGCACTCCCCCCTGTTCTCAGCAGCAGCCAAGCTGTGTCAGGCCCACAGCACCATCTACTGGATAGTGTCAGGAATTACTCGACTGTCATCACGGCGGTTCTTGGGTTCCCCTTTTGGAGTACTGTTCAACTTCCAGGAGAGTTTTCCACTGTCTTTCATCTTAGTAACTTGGTTAATTCCACGTTGAAACAACTTGGTTATTTCCATCTCATCCATTCCTTCATCACACACACACACGTGCACACACACGCACCCTGTCAATCCCGTTTCTTCTTTCTTCCTATTTCCATTCCAGCTCTCATCCAAATATTTTGGAAAAATATCTTTTCTCACTTCCTATCCTTTTATTGTATTTTATTTACTTATTTATTTTTTTAAAGATTGGCATCTGAGCTAACATCTGTTGCCAATCTTCTTTTTCTTCTTCTTCTTCTTCTTCTCCCCAAAGCCCCCAGTGTATAGTTGTAGATTCTAGCTATAGGTCTCTCTGGTTGTGCTATATGGGATGCCGCCTCAGCCTGGCTTGATTAGGTCCACACCCAGGATCTGAACTGGAGAGACCCTGGGCCGCCGAAGTGGAGCTCGTGGGAACTTACCCACTTAGCCGTGGGGCCTGCCCCTATCCTTTTATTTTTTATTCTCTCTTACTAAGGCCAAGTCTGAGTGTCCTTCCGCCACGATAGATGACTATTGCATAAAAATAGTGCTAAAAACACTGCAATATTAACAAAAATAAAACTAAGATCCAAGCCCATTTTTAGGTAGAGAAGGGGCCTATCTATCATAAGCACCTTTGACACAATTTTAAGCTGCTCATGCCTGCTCTCTGTAATCCTTTCCCATTCTGAGTCTCCTTCAGGAGTACATATAAGAATTGCTAGTGAGGGTGTATATAACACACACACTCAGCTTAACACTCGGAGAAGCAGGTATCTAAGAAATGAAATATGTCTGAGCTTGGCCAGGATCAGTGATCATTTGCAGAAAGCCCCAACGGAATCTTTTAGAAAAGAAGCCAACCTGACGAAGGGAGCCTTGGGTACAACTTTGAAGAGCAATACGCCGCTGCTGGCTGTGGAATTGAGGCAGAAATGGTGCAGATGTATAATATGCTGCTGGATAGAGCACATATTAATGCATAGCACTGTGAATCCACGTTAACCTCAGTTATCGGTGAAAAGCTTGCCTCCGAGCGAGCGCATAGGGCTCCCTCTCAAGGTGAAGGTCACACATGGCTTCCGTCCCAGTGGGTCCCTGCTGGTAGGCTGTGCCCACTTGCTCAATGAGTAGTGAATAGTTCTGTGTGAGCAGTGCGCCAGCCTCGCTACAAGATGCTCTTTTCCCAACACAGGCTGCCTTCTCCTTAGGACTTTTTCTCATTAAGATAACATCCTTTTAAATGAAAAAGCACTGGGAAGGAAAGTCGGTTGGGTGAAAAATTCCAGTGTTTAATTTGAATGCTGAAATGAGGTGAGGAAACCTCCCTGGACTTCTTTAGTTTGCATCGTCTCTAATACGTGGAGGCAGAGAGTTTGGTGCCATGAGGAGGAGCAGGCAAAGAAACTCAGTGCCTGAGACCTCAGCCAGCTCAGAGTCCAGGACTTTCTGTGTAGCTGGTTTGCGGGGGAGTCTCGGCTCAGGGAGGTGCAGACGGAGTGGCTTTATCTCTTCTAATAACTCCAACCCCATTTCCACGCACTGGAGGAGGATGAGGGGGAGAAAACTTAATCTTGCCCAGTAATGGAATTTGAGTCCCATCGGGGAATTTAGTCCGTTCCATGCCTCCTGTCTAACCTGGTTATTAAGTTCTTAACTCTCACGGCGGGCTGACTGTCTCCCCTCCACACACATTAGGCCTTTTCCGCAGCTGTGCAGCCGCTCCTCCACTTCCCTCTCCTCTTTCTGCTCTCCTGTCTCCCCGCCTTCCTCTTCCCCTCCTTGGTGTCACCTCTCCCATCCCTCCTGAGCTAAACACCAAGGCTGCTCCAGTTTCCTGTGGAGGGTGAACACCCGCACTCCCTGAGGGTGGTTTCCTTTACAATAGCTCTACGGGCTGGGATCCTACGGGAAGGGTCCTTGGTCTCCCCTGGGCCCCCCACCAGTGGTGTAGGTGCCACACCCCTCATCGTGTCCCTTGCTCTATGGGGCTGCCCCCACCTCCAGGCCCCGGCCGACTTTGGCATCCTCAACAGGGAGGGTCTTGGCACACCCCCACCCCCTTTCCCAAGAGGCATTCTTTAGGCCTGCAGAGCACGGGGGGTGAAAGTTGGGGCCCTATCCGCGGACCCAGAGTCCCTGTCAAACTCTGCAGGCCTTCTCTTGGGGTCTTCTGGCTTCTGTTGGCGGGAACCAACCTGAGCATCTACCTTCCCCTGGGGGCTACAGAGAAGTGAGGGTTATTACACCGTAAAATCTGCTTTTCTAGAGACTCTCCTGTCCCCTCCCTGATGAGGAGGACAGAGCAGTAGGTGCCCACGGAGGTCTTCTGGAGAGTCCAGCCCCTGCAGGCCCTGAGGGGCGATGGGCCTCGGCGGGCCATCTCTGAATGGAGGTCAGGCAGGATGAGGATGGTAGTGAGGTGTGGAGCGCCTCCACCCCTCCTTGTGCTAATGGGAACCCCGGGTGGGCAGGATGGGGCAGGAAAGGGTCTCAGCTGCTTCCTCACCCTCAGGACAACATGAAAAAGAAGGAATTTAGTAAGGAAGCCCACACCTGTAAGTGGCAGTGCAGCACATGGGTGGGAAGGAGCAGGCCTGCGGCAAGCGCCAGTGGGGTGGGATTTACAGGAGCCATCAGGAGGGCTCCCTGCCTGCTCACAGAGGGGACTGTCAGCAGCTACTGTGGCCTTGTAGACCTGGAGGATCAAATGACCGTGTCAAATAGGCCAAAGAGATCAAGACTGCACAGCTGCCGATCAGAAGTCATTTTGGGAGGTGAAAGGCAGGTTTTCTGCAGAGGAAGCCAAGGCAAGCCTCTCAATTCAGAGGCAGCTGGGAGCCGGCGGGCAGGCTCTGGCGGCTCAGGACTAAGGCCGAGCGCCCTCGAGGGCCAAGGGCGGGCGTGGCGGGTGGGGCCCACCGTTGGAGGAGGCCCGCTGCGAGGACCGAGGACGCCGCTCACCCCACGGCCACTGCCGGCCTCGTCGGGGCCACACGTGCTCACACGCTGTAGTCACATCTAAAACGCGTCTTCAGAGCACGAACCATCGAGCAGATGTTGCTCACTGGCTGTGTCCGTCCTGCTCCTTATGTCTCAGCAAGGTGTTTATTTCGTGATGGAGCAACGTGGAGATGTATTGAATACAAATCATCTTTTAAAAGCCTGCTCGCTAAATATGTTCAATTCTTCTCCTCATCTTTTATATGATTTAGTGATGAAACATTTAGATTCCCTGAAGGAGCGAGACAGACAGACACACTCTGGAGAAAGAAGACAATGCCCAAAGAATTTCAAAGATACTTCTCAATAAAGCCTGGTTAAATTGCATTTGTTTGAGAGTAATGCCTATCAGTCTTAGTCAAAAGTTTAATTAAAAGAAGATATGAGAGGAGAGTGGCTGAGAGAACAGACTCTGGAGATAGTGCAACCTAGGTTCAAATCCCAGCCCTGCTTGCAGCCTGCTGTGTGACCTCGGGAACCCTGCATCCCCGTCTGGGCTTCGGTCACACTCTTCTGTAAAATGAGAACACTAACCATGTCTTAAAGGATGTACTGAGCTTTCGATGACAAAATCCAAGAAAAATATTTAGCCTAATGTATCTTTCTATGCAATTGTACTTTATCCAAGCATAATTTTATACAAATTGGGCTAAAAGAACATTGCCAGTAGAGATCCTCAGGAATCCAGTATATCTATCAGTGTATACAATTTGCACGTTATTTAAAAATACTTGAAAGTGTTTGATTTTTCCCTGTTTTTATTGAAGTATAGTTGATGTACAATATTGCGTTAGTTTCAGGTGTACAACCTAGTGATTCGACATTTCTATGGGTTACGAAGTGATCACCACGATAAGTCCAGTAACCACCTGTCACAGTACAAAGTTATAACAAATATTGTTGACTCTATTCCCTATGCTGTACATTACATCCCCATGACTTATTTATTTTATAACTGGAAGTTTATACCTCTTAATCCCTTTTACCTATTTCACCAACCCCCCACCCATGTCCTCTCTGGTGACTACCAGCTTGTTCTCTGCATCTATGAGTTTGTTTCTGTTTTGCATTGTTTGTTCACTTGTTTTGTTTTTTAGATTCCACATATAAGTGAAGTCATACAGTATTTCTCTTTCTCTGTCTGACTTATTTCACTGAGCATAATACCCTCTAGGTTCATCCACGTTGTCGTAAATGGAACATTTCATTCTTTTTTGTGGCTGAGTAGTATTCCATTCTGTATACATATATATATACACCACATCTTCTTTATTCATTTATCCATTGATGGACACTTAGGTTGCTTCTGAGTCTTGGCTATTGTGAATAATGCTACAATGAATACAGAGGTGCATATGGCCTTTTGAATTAGCATTTTCGTTTTCTTTGAATATATTCTCAAAAGTAGGATTGTGGATCATGTGGTAGTTATATTTTTAATTTTCTGAGGAATTTCCATACTGTCTTTCACAGTGGCTGCACCAATTTTACATTCCTACCAACAGTGCACAAGGGTTCCTTTTTCTCCACGTCCCCGCCAAGGCTTGTTATTTTTTGTCTTTTTGATGATAGCCATTCTGACAGGCATGAGGTGATATCTCATTGTGATTTTGACTATCTAGGACATCTGTTTGTCAAGTTTGGGGCTAAGTGACTTAGATAGCTCATCCTCGACTCTTTGCAAGAATTACAAAGCAGTCATTGTTATTCCCATT